ATCCAAAGGCTGAAAAGAAGATTTTGACTGCCTCTGTTTGACTGAGGTAACATGGTAATGCCCACATGAAAAAGGAAACAAGCCTCTTCATGATTGTTTAATGAAAAAATTTAAAACATTTTCCTTACCTGAAGATGTATTTTAGAGAAATAACTCTGCATAATAAAGATAGCTAATACCTCATGCCACTGCCAAACGTTTTTGTGCACGCACCAAGCCTTTGAATGAAACTCCCACACTTACATATAGTAACATGTACTGTACCAGTCTATGATGCAATCAGCATTGGGCTATACTCCTCCAACAAAAGGAGGGTGACAAATCACCCATGTACAGTACTCCTCTTGAGCACTTTGTGTGTACCAAAAACTTATTCTTGATAAGACAAAAGAGAAATAACAGAATAGATAGCTAGAATCCCACATTGAGAAGATGGTGGAGGGACTGGTGTAGATAAAAAAATTTAAAGATGAGCTCCATTCTAAAAATATAGCAACAGAAAGTGAAAACTCATGGAGTTGTCACCCACTAGGAGTAGGAACCTAGTGGGATTATCACTCGGTGTGAGACTGCATCCATCTCAGTTAGGGGATACCCTTTCCCAGTACAAGTGGTAGTCCTTGAAGTTACAGTTGAAAGAACCTCCTGGATGGTGCTGAAGTGTCACAAAGGTGGGCAGAATGTAAGGGCTACTCAACTGGCTTGTATATTTCAGGGGTCAGCAGGCTATGTAGGTGCAGTATGGCTAAAGCAATAAGTCATGCCATATAGTGTGCAAGAAATACTTACCTACTAGAACAAGCAGATGCAGGGATGAATCATACCAGACCTGCATCTCAAGAAGAATATAAGATCCATTTGTCTGATCACACCAACTGGGAGGTGTAGAGAGTGGCCTGTACTATTCTTCCAAGTAAACACTCCTACCCTACTTCTGATTGAGGGCTACATCCACTAAGTTCCATAATAGTGGGATTAAACCAACCCAAAGGGGAATTCTCCTTATCAACCCCCAGCAGCTTGTTTCTGGGGAAGCAAGGGTTCTTTCACTCCACTGGAAGAAAATAGACACAATTCACACAGGGGAGAACATTGTTAAGGTGTATGGACCAAACAGAAATTGCCAAAGTACATAATTCTTAATGAAAACTAACATGATTGAGCATTGCAATGTCAAGGAAAAGAAAGGGCTTTTAGTATACATAAAGTGCTAAAGGAGAGTACTGCGAGTTGAGGATGTGTTGCCTTCTTATTGATGGGAGGGGATATAGTCTAATGCTGATTACATCACAAACTGGTGCATTAGACATTATTACATGTAAGGGTGGGGGTTTTATTCAAAGGCTTGGCACATGTGCAAAAACATTTCAACGGTGGTAGAAGGTAGTAGCTATCTGTTCTGTGGACAGATGAGTAGCATTTCTGAAAAGACAGGTGAAACTGGAAGAATCAGGTGACTTGGTGGAAGAGTGTGGCAGATGGATTGAATTTTTTAACCATCCACTTGCACTAATAAACTCCCATGGGTGAATGGTCTATAATAATGAGCAAGAAAACAGCTAACTCTGCAATAAAATCCTGCCCATTTGCAAGGGACTGGTAAAAAGCCACACATCAAGATGAAGATTATGGAGCAAAATGTAAGAGGGACTTCCAAGATGGAAGAAGTAGGGGATTCTGGACAACCAAAAGGCAGAGGACTGAAAATCATAAACGGGCTGATAAGGGGAACAATTGGATGAAACTGGCAACAGGTGCTGTAAATTTGAGACAGCACATTGAGAATGAAGCAATCAGTAGGACAGACACACAGAAGAGATTGAACCAATCTCGACTGAAAGCATCTACCGCTATGGCAACAGAGTCTGGTATTAATGAAAAAAACTTGAGAAGATTGGTGCTGAGAAGAATCACAAAGGCATAAATAAAAGAATTCCCCAAACGGGAACACATTTTCTGGAAGAAGGATGTCCAGGGTCATGGAGGATGGATCAAGCCACCAAAACAATTAGAGGTGAAGAGATGGAGGGAGGGAACTGAGAGAAGTCTGGATATATCCCAACACACTGCTAAAGGAATAAGGGACTCAAGAGCACCTAGTCTTCAAAAGAGAAAGAACCTCTCATGTAGGAAGAGAAGTAGGCATGAAAGTTTTGGAAACTAGAAGCTCTGTGTTGGCAAGTCCTCTACAATTCAAAACCCAGCCACTCAGAACCAACATTCACATGGGGGATAGGATAGAGGATCATACAGGTGGCAAGTCATCACTTTTGAAGTGGAAACATAAACTTTGATGAAAACCAAAAAAAGGTGAAGAACAATAATGGTAAGTGATCACTTAAAATTGTTAAAGTGGAGAAAAAACATAGAAAAATATTTCCACTTTGTATGAAATTTCAAAAAATATCATGGAAAAAGAGCACAAAGAACATCAGGACAATAGCACTGCCAACTGAGAAGTGATAGTTTGGTAGAATCAAATAGGGGAGTCATGTGTCAGGAGGGTGTGTTGCACTCCTATTGGTGGAGGGTTGTCACATGATGATTTACACGCGAGATGCAGTTGAATCACGTTGATCTTGGAGTACGTGGGAGCTCAATACTTGTAGCATGTGAAAAATAAATTTCACAAACAGGGCAGCACATGGAGGAAGGGAAATGAGAAAATTATCATTGTCCATCTCCAAATCAAAAGAAGGGAGAAAATGGCAACAGAGCCTTCAAGTGGTTGGAGAATTACTCTGTTGGAGGAGAAGAGAGATATGTCTGCAGTCATACTGTAGCAGTGTAATGGAGTGCAGCAGCATCACTCTGTTTTGGAGGAAAAGTCACCATCCTTCATTCTTCAAAGTAAGTACTGTTATTAAGTTTATATTTTCCTACTTCATTCTATTCAACCCATTTTGATTTAGGACAAGAAAGATTGGAACCAGTGAATTTAACAATGTGTGATTCCAACTCACTTTTGTTGATATCATGGTTAAGGAATCATGCTAATAATGAAAACATCAAAGAGGGTTTGGAATACAGAGCTAGACATTACATTTCAAATGACCGGTATTATGAGGGGTGACTTCAGTGAGTTTTTCTCCAATAGGCTTCTGTCTCAAAATGGTTCACTGTCATGTGATCACAACATTTCAACCAAGAGACTTCAGATGTTAGCTTCTTTATTGGCTGTGGTGATTTAGCAAACCACTCTTAGCCAACTGATATAAAAAAAAAAAAGAAGTTTTTGACAAAGAATGTAAAAATCAAAACTGAGGTACAGGAACTACACTGTAATGGTCATTTTGCAGTTAACTTATGAAATTGAGATTTTTATCCAGATAGAAAAAAAATTCAGTGCACACTGACCACATCCACAATGAAGTGCTACACTGTCAAAAGATTAACATACTGAAGAAATAGCAGCAAGACCAGTGTTTTGTGGGTAATATAACAAACATCAGTTCCAGACATAATGTCCATAAAACCCATGAGGACATCTAATAATGACCAGTACATTGACCATTAGGGAGCCACCTGTATACAGAAATTCAAGGGGAAAATTGTGAGTTGTAGTGACCCAGCCACCACTCAACCATAAAGATCCTCTCCACCCATTACTTGGGTTCTTACACCTTACTTCTAAACACACAAAATCTGAAGTTTCTTCTTTTTTGAAACAAGTAACCTTAAGGATTTTGAAGATATATTAAAACCTTCTTACCTAACTTTTTTTTAACTCTCAATACAGTGTCAATGGTGCTTTTTTAATTTTTATATGTCTACTGATCAGATTGTTAATATTGAACAGGATAAGTTATGCTGCTTACAGTATTAAGCTTATCATTATGGGAGAATTTGTATGTGAATATACCATGAAAATTACTTGAAACTGAAATTTAAGATGAATAATAACATTTTCTGGAGTTTCAGCAACACTGTCAGCAGTTACAGGCAGAACTCTGAACAACTATGCTTTATTACCAATAGAATAAACCAGGATTGTACTGTATAATACAGTATTGCTTCTGTAACATTCTGTACTAATCAGAATACTACTCCTAAAAAAATCAATAATGAATAGTATTTGATTATTAACAACTGACAAATCTGAAAGAAAAACTTTAATGACAATGAAATTCCCTGGTAAAATGGAATATATATATATATATAAAGTTTTACAGAAGTCAAGAAAACTACTGTTAAAAATAGTGACAGTTCTTTTTTTCTTTTGCTTTCTGAAAACACCAAACACACTGGTAAAGAGAAAACTTATAACAAATTAAAAGAACACTTTTGTAGAATCTCTTTCAAGATGAGGAAGACAATAATTTAATTATTATTACTGGCAAAGAGAATGTTGTAATAAACTTGTGGAATAAATCTTCTGGCCATTAAACTAAAGGTTTTGATCATGTAGAATGCAGGTAAGAATGGGTGGATGTTGTAATAGTTTTGTTAAAAAGAATGGTTTTGTAGAAACCAGAAACTCATCCTCAGTCAATCAAATTGAAAATTTTATATATACAAAGATTTTGTGTCTATGTTGTCATATATCATGAAAGAAGTATTCACTACAGGTTGCCTACTGTGAAGAGGTGACCACCATGTATTGAACGTTCACTGTCCCCTTATATTCTACAGCATAATTCACTAACACTAGTAAATAAATACAACACTTAACTGTGGTGAGTATGTACATGAAATTGAAAAGTTGTACAAATTAAATAAAAAGTTTACTAATTTATAAAAATATATATTTTTAATGGATATATTACATCATTGTTGAAATGCTTCCAAACTATACTACATATACTACGAAAACTTACACAAGCTTATATTTGAAATTAAACAAATCTGTATTTAACAGTTAACTAAACTAAAGGATTGCGCCACCCTATATATTACTTATTAGTATATATATATTATTACTACTACGACTTTAATTAATGTTCAAATACATAAATTATTTGCATTTCTTTACTAATATTAATATATATATAAATACTCACATTATTTAGAACAGGTCATGCTAAAACGAAGACTGTTATAATAATAATAATGACTTCCACTTATTATACTTCCACAATTGCTTAATACACCACCTTAAATTAAAGCTAACACTAACAGTTCTAACGCATAAACTGAACCGTCATGATCAATCCAACACTAAGCATATAAAATTAAAACTCAGGGACATATGGTAGTTTCTAAACACTGTAGACATCTGGTGGAACGAAGGTCAACCTTTGATGCCCTGTATCTTTTTTAAGCATTATGTTTTATTTTGGTATTCAACCGTGATCTCAAAGTTTTATGTTTTTTCTTCCTTATGAATAAGTTAGGCTTTGTCGTAAAACTATATATGTGTGGAAAAATACCACTACTGTACATTATAATTTTACTGTTATGCATGAGCATGTACGTTATTGTACGACCTAAGCCCAACTTTAAGATATAGTGTTTGTTCAAGAAACTAAATATTGCATATGAAGTCTAGTTTATTATCAGTCGTTCGATTCACTACCTGTCACTGAGTTATACCAGTTTCCAGGAAATCTGTCTCTCGTCACTAATCACAGACAAGGACAAATCGAAAAAATGACACTATGATTCTTATAATGCAATATACTGTATATTGTGTGTATGGTGCTTTAGTAATATGTGACTCACAACAGTGAAACTGTGTTTATTTATGATTTGAAATTGTAAGACAAGCTGTTTAAGATAGAGATGCTAAGTCTTGTTTTTCCGATTTTTCTTTGCCCAGAGTTGCTGATGAGGAGTGGAATCACCTGAAACCAGTATAATTCAGTGGCAAGTAGACAATCGAATGATTTATTGGGTTTCATGTTTATTTTTAGTATCTTAAGTCCTTCGGTGAGTCATCGCTAAATTTTGAGTTTTCGATAAGCCATTGCGCAGCTCTGTGTTAAAAAAAGAAACAAAAGAAAAACACTCTTAGTATTCTAAACAATTTATCTTCTGAATAATTCAGAAGAATAAATTAGTAGCATCAATGCTGCATATGCTTCAAATCAAATATAAACGTGGTGAGTAAACAAAACACCATACATATAGTTTGTTTTTCGTCCATAAATATTAATTGAATAATTTCGTAATTATGTGTTATAGATATAATTGATAAATGCCATTATTTCTAAAAAAATATTATTATTAATGCTAAAGTTTTTTGGAATATTTGCGACTTTACTCTCATATAAGTTGCTAAAACATATTCAGTATTTGAAGTTGTACGTCACATTATCATTTTGTAAGTTGGTTTTCATTACAGTTTTTATGGGAGATACTGAAGAGTTATTTAATAAAGGTGCCTGAAGTTTGTTCTGTGTTACAATATTTAGCAAGTTTAGAAAATCAACGTAAGAGATCCTGTAAAAATGTTTTTCTTGTAGGTAAATACAACACTAGCCTAATTTATAGTGTATTAAACTTTTGCCAAAGCTGTAAGATGTATTTGGTTTTGTTTTGAAGTGAAGCACAAAGCTACACAATGGGATATCTGTAATTTGCCCACCACGGGTATCGAAAACTCGGTTTCTAGCGTTTTAACTCAGTAGACATACCGCTATGCAAATGGAGGGGGGGGGGGGCAAGATGTAATAGAAGGGAATGGTTATGTGGTATTTAATAATAGTATGTGTATGCGCAGTTTTCACACAACACGTGATCCAGAAAAGTCGCTAAATTGCTTTCGTTCTTGCTACCTTTGTTCTTTGTCATTTGTTTAAGATAACATCTGGTCTGCTCGTGGACACCATGGCTCTAACTTAAGCCTGTAATTCTGCTTATTGTGCAATGATTTTGACAGAACAGGACAAGTAGGTAAGGGAATACCTCGAAGTTATGACCTCCCTTAAGTTTAAATGAGAATGGCCAGTTACTGAGGCATCATAATGATAAGTCTGGCATCATATTTGCATTTGTAAGTAGTGTTAGTTTTTAACAGTCTGGTAGATAATCTCAGCCAAGTGAGTATCTAGCTTAAAGAACAATCTTCTGGCCTTAATGGTCTGCCAGGAGAATTTTATAAAACGTTCTGGCCCATTGCCGAAATCAAATTTGTTGAAATGTTAAACAACTCAACTTGTAAAGGTATTCTCTCCCTCCCTCGTTTAAATGAATAATCATCATACGTTGGAAGAAGACTAACTCTGATCTTTTAAGCGATTATCGTCCTATTACACTTAGCAATGTTGATTGTAAAATCTATACCAAGTGCATTAACACTAGAATATGTAGATTAGCAGATAGGATTATCATCTCATCAAAGACAGCTGTTGTTCCAGGACACAATATTTTCTTTATTATTAAAATGCTATGGAACATAAAATATCTGTCTAACAATAGTAGTTCTACTGCTTGTGTTATATCACTTAATCAGGCATTTGATCGAGTAAATTATGAATTTTTACTTTATGTGCTAAGCAGATATGGTTTTCCCGAAAATTTTATTAAATGCATAAAATTAATCCACAGCGATATTTAAAGGAAATGTTAACGTTGTCAGATATTTAACAGATTCTTTTGAAGCAATATGAGTTGTGTTCGGAGTGTTACGTCTCCGTTTGTTAATTGATTTCCCGTAAATTCGTTCCTACGAAACTTTAGCGACACAAGTCCTTTCTTAATAAAACTGGTTTATTCTTTCCGAATATAACTTTACGATACACTTAATTTCAACAATCACGCTAAAACAAACGCTATAACAGCGAACGTGCTCAACTTCAATAATACTCTCTGACTGCAGATCAATTACTCACTGTCTACACACACATTATCCCGTCACGTTGTGAGCGTCTTATTTATATACCAGAAAAACATATATCTAGTAAATGCTAGGGCATTCACGAAGGAACAAGATACTTCTAGAAAATAGGTGGCGTCACACTAGTCACGTGACCTCGCTGACGCAACACTGCCCCCTCCTTAGTATTGTTCGTCCCGAACAATACCCACTTACACTAAACCAATAAGAATTAACAATAACTTAATTAAAATGTACAGAATTACAAACACAAAATTACAATTCAACAAAGTCTCTTAATTTTATGGGACGTATCTTCTTCCGTACTGGTCTCCATCTTGTTGGCTTCTGCTTCAAGTGGGGTTCATCTGGTTCATCAGGAAATGTCCTATCGTCGGTAACAGTCACATCAGTGGTAGTAACTTCTTCAAGAGCTTCACCGTTTCCCTTCTCAAAACTGAGTAGAGTATTGTTACGTCTCCGTTTTTTAATTGATTTTCCGTAACTTCGTTCCGACGAAACTTAAGCGACACAAGCC